TAGGATCGTGAACACAACTTTTGAAAATCATGAATCCGTTAGCAGTTTTTTCATCATAGTTTTAGGCAATCGTATAGTGTTCATCTAATACACGGACAGGATAGAACCATGAATTGCTATTTGCTATACTATGAGTGTGTTATTTTCAAGTTCAGTCAGTTATCAGGCTTACTATATTGTATCAGCCAATTTTAGATGTGTTCTTATTCACACGTCAACAATAAGTGATTATCAATGATTTTGTGAATAATTCTTCGCTGTGTAACACAGTTCATATGTATTGGTTTGATGATTTTAATCACCATGAACGCAATAACCTGAATAGAAAAAAACAAACTCTTCATTTGTTATTACATAATATGTTTGATGATATTCTCATATTGAATATAGTCATAAAGGATCAAATTGTTGAAAACAAGCATTTTCATATTTAATTTGACATCATTTATTACTTTTCGAGAAATTATCTATCACTTACAGATAATTCAATGATTGTTATCTTGGTTTCCTCAATATACTAACATGGAATACGATTAACATGAAAACTACTAATATAAGCCTTGTAAAAAGATTAGCTATTACATCGTTAATTAGAATGAATCTTTCTTAATACATAGCTTTGAAAGATGATCTTATTTTGTAGACCAATGTATCAAATCTGTTTGGTTCACTTCTAAAATTTGTTTAACGATAGTTGTATTTAGTGATTTCTTGTTATGTGTAATGAAGTGACTTATAGTGCCTGATTAACTCATTATCACTGTCACAGACTGTGAAACTGCATAACATAGCTATGAATCCCATGAAAAACTACAACTTTCTGAAAACTGTAACCTTGTTTTGCTAATGTATGTTAACCAACCTAGAAACCTAAGTGAAATAGATTGTCCTGACAACTACTTTCAACCACATAATAAAATGATACTCAGGCTATTTACCACTGACATATCTTTAACTATAAACGAGTGAAAATGTTTTACTTGTAGCAAGCCTATTCAACTATTGTATTATTGTCTACTCACTGTAATTCAGACACTTAATTCACTATGTTAATTTCTGTGTTTGTATGATTGAGCGCGTGTCTGCACACCAACCTTAATCTATTCTCCTTTTGGTTGTAACATACAGATAATCAATAATTTATCCACACGTGATTGACACTCAAAAATATATATGGACTTTTAACACACACACACACACTTTCGTGGTTTCACAGTGTGCTTGCTCGCTGTACGATGGTGGGTTTTATTTATCTTGAACAATAAAATATCTCTACAACTGGTGTTCAGGCTTCTGAATAATCTCGAGTAAATCCATAATTGTACTAGGAGATTTAGCCTACCTTAAATACTCAGTTAACGGGATATCATTTATTGGAGTCAGATATAGAGGGAATTAGCCGCATACTCTCAACAGACTACTAGAATAAAGATTATTGAAGAGTATAGATTTCGATTTTAATTCAACACTCATAATCTAATCAATGTTATAATAATTCTTATCTTCAGTGTATGTGTAAAGATTTTCCCTTAAAATAAACAAACAAACAAAATAATCACCTTTAATTACCATATTAATCGATATGTTGGAAACAAATTAAAAAAAAAGAAAGAACAACAACGAGAAGAGAGTATGGCCAAGAAAATGTATCCTTCAAAAGATAACATGGATTAAATATCTAATCAATACAGATCAAGTTAAGTGAGACAATACTCATATAATGTTCTATCGATAAATAATGAATAAAGGATACAGTATAAGAGAACAATTTAGGTATGGATTAATTAAAATTGAGTAAGGGATAAAAGAAACTGAAGAAATATTTTTGTCAGAAAGGGGGTTTTGTGGAGATTTTAGTAATTTAATAATTGAGTTCATGAGTCAATTCAAACTAGACCAACATGGACAGTGGTGCAATTTCATGAATTGGTTGAAGTTAAACATTAACACCGTTGGATGCCGGCTTAGTGGTTTAAAGGTTAAGCGTTCGTGCGTGAGACTGATAGGTCCTAGGTTCGAATCCCGTGGGGTGGGGTTATGGATACACATCACGAAAGAGTTTAGGTTTCTCATGGTGGTCCGGCTTTAATTGGCTCATGAATTCAACTATTAAAATATGTTTGCATTGTAAGTTTTTAAATCACCAGTATTCAGTCTACATTGTGTGTAATTTGTAATCTCTAACCTTCATGCTTAACCAGGAACTATGTTAGTAGTCCTCAAGTTACTTTTGCATCATTATAAAAGGTTTAAGAGGATAGATTTTCTGCATCCATATTGATGAATGTTTTTCGATTTACTGACAGAAAATTCCATAGATGTCAGTAGGTATGACAACTATCCTACGACCGATTTCGATTACGGTTAATTTTGGTTAAGCCTTTTTATTAACTTAACAGACAATGTCATTTGAATAGTAACAATTCAAATACTTCTTTGTATCGTTATGATCACCAGAGGACATGACACACTCTAGCTAAAATGTTGATCGCTTAAATATCACTTGACGATGATTCATTCTTCTCCTCAGGTATATATGTGCTCAAATCCTATTATTGGCTTTTGCTTTGCCTTGCTGTACCCTTATGTGATTTGACTATAAATTTACTTAAGTAATTGCTCACATATACTTATTCACCTCTCCGCTTCAAATTCGCTCGATGTGCTTATAGCTTTGTGATCTGCTCTATCCGCTAATAAATTGTAGTTGCCGCTTCATTTTGCCTTCTGATTTCAAACACCGTTGAGGTTTATATGATAACGGTTACAAGGGTGATTAGTTAACGAAGCAAAGCCACTACATATGATCGATTAATATGTATGATATTTGTTATAACAAGCGCAATGAATTTGTAGACAGTTTTTAAATATCACTGGTTGAAATCATGAGTCAACTGAAGTTAGACCACCATGGGAAACCTGGAAGCACTGGATAGCCGTTTCGTTTTAGTATCTTCACAAAACCCTCTCTGATAGTTTTTAAATAATCAAAAAATGACTTTGTAAATGAATTGTTTGTGGAAACAAAGGTAATGGGATTTTAAAGTATAAATAGGTTTACCATGTTTAATGAATTTAATGAAGTCCTCTAAATCTGCTTATACATGTTAATGGAGAAAAATTAATATATATTCGCCCATATGGCTATAGAATATTTGTCTTATCTAATGTCTTAGAGAACTCATAATCACATTTCGAAATCTCCAGATTGCTACGGTCATTTCTACGATTTTCACTCTTATACATTAACTTTTTTAATACGTTTAGTTCCAGGATAATATACTAAACAAGAATAATCAATTCTAAAGATCATTTATATAATCCTTTTCTAGAACATAATGCAGATTAGTAAACATATTTATAAAGAAAGGTTTCGTTAAGTTCATTGGCATGTAGTAATCACAAAGACGATAATCTCGATGCATAAGATAGACTGAGAGTGTGTGATGTATGTTACTTATGTTAACAGACATAAGTCGAAGTGAAATGGTTGAGAAGGTTGAATCGAGGAGAACAGGAATATAAACAAAGAGTAACTGTAATAAAAACAAGAATGAAGGAACGATGGAGTTAGTCAGAGACAGTTGATGGAAGATGTACAAATGAAGCATTTAGTGTATAGTTTTCATATTTTATGAAGACATTCTGTAATATTGTAATAACTAATAAAGTGGTCTTCCCCACTTGAGTGTTCGTTCACTAAAAGTATAAAATGCATTTCTAGTTTAGTTCTGTCAGAGTCTGAAGTCTTGATTAGCATACAAAAGATAATAAATATTATAGTTTAATGAATATATGCTGAAACTGAATAGAGTGTTGTAATTTACCATGATATCGGAATTAAAGTTTTCGGTAGCCTTATTTACAGTCTGATGATATCAAGCTAAATTGAACATAGTAAAGGTTTGTGTGTTTATACTGCATATCAGCTGGAAGAAAGCTTCCAAAATAGCATTTTTTTTCTGTGCTTTATTGCACGTACAACTAATAGTGCTACTAACAACATTAGTAATAATACTGATAGTCAATTCCTAACTTATTGATATTTCTTCAAAATGATTTCTCCACCTCGAATGAAGGAAAGTCAAGTTAGTCTTCTCCAGTTATAGACAAAATATAAATAAGTATCTTGGGTCAATGATGATACATAGTCATCTAATCTAAGTCAGTCAACTCCGAAATGTTATGAATTCAAGGAAGCCATTGTCATCTTATTCAACATCTAATCGATAATACTCCATTTTTTCAACGATCATTTTGTCAAAATTACATATGATTAGGTGATGATGATATTAATTTGTAATTTGTGCATATGTAATCTACTTATAATCTACTTATAACGACGATTTTGAATAAAAGAAAACTGGAATTTATCGTCCTAACATTTTGTAACTTAAAGTCTATTCATCTATATATAATCTAAACTTTCTAATTAAATATACATATACTGATAAAGAATGATTTCATGACGGTGATGCATGATTCGATAATAACTGAAATCAAGCTATTTGTTCTGTAAAAATATTCTTGTCAATGTTTTACAAATCAACCAATAGCATTAAATTTCAGCTAAATAAGTACAGTTGATATGATATTTGACGACGCCTTTCACCATTTGAAGTCCGAATGATAAGATACAAGATGTTATGTTTACTTTTATGAAACTTGATTGGGAAAGCATGTAAACCATTGTGGTGCGTGCTACTTATATTGATATAAGTAGTATATTACGCTAGCCAGGAATGTAATGTCTGGTAGCAGAAGATGGGGAAGATGGGGAAGATCAGGAAAGGAAAAGCGAGAATAGAAAGCAATTAATATGGAAATGTAAGAACAATGAAGTTCGAGACAATTATTGAACATTTTGCAAATTAAGTATTATAGTATGGTTTTTCTATTTTACCAAGTAACTCTGTAATTTTGTGCTTAATACAATTCGACTGTCCCCATCCATGTTCTATTCACTACTCCATGTGATTATGATAAATAAGTATCAAATTAAATAATATATATGTATTGATGCTTTTAATGAGGCATTTACAGTAGTTTAACGGTAGTATTGTTTTTGATTAGCAATGTAATGAAATGAGCTTCTACACTGATGGTAGTAAAAAATCCCAATAGCGTAGTGAATAAAGTCAATGATGCCAGACAGTAATCCGGATAGTAAGTATAACTGGAAATTGTACTAAATGTAAGCTGCCCGAAACCAATAGCAAGCTGAAAAAAAGGATGGAAAACGAAAGATCATAAGTGATCTAAGAAGCAAAATTATTGTAAAATACCGAAGTAGAGACAAACAACTGTGTAACAAGCTTATTAAAAGAATTTTTGACCAAGGTAAAAAAAAGTCTAGTTCAGAAAGGGTTAAATTACAATACATCAAATTTTTCGGCACCGAAATCATTCATACCGCCGAATTCCTCGTCTAAAACATCAAGACTAAATGAAGAAACTCAACAACAAATAAGACAAGTGGTAATGTTGTTGAGTTGATGTAAAGAAAACTGCTTTCGACTAAAGGCATAAAAACGGAAGGCTCTACGGAAACAGAAAACAAGGAGAAATACAATCATGATCATTCTTAACAAGGAGCGTACCACAATAGTCATGAGTGAAAGGACTATATTTGGAACGATAAGAGGTTACTCAGAGATGATAGTGTATACCAACAAATGGAAACTAATCCCAACCAAAGCTAAACGGCAATATTTATAGTACTCTAAAACAGACTAATCAAAGGTGGATGACTAACAAGCACGATTCATAGCTAAGAAAACCAAATGGACTTCTTATTTCCCAATGTTATGGTTGACCGAAATTACACGAGCTGTACATTACAAAAAGTCATTACACTTTCAAGGACATTTTGTGTTTCAATAGGAATATCAATCGTGTTGAAATATGTGATGAACCCATTCGACTACTCTATCAAATATTCAACACAATTCTTAGATCAAATGAAAGATATTCAAATCGACAACAACAATTTGATTTCTTTGGATGTCACAGCGTTGTATACATCATTTGAAGCAAATCTACCATATCCTTGTCCCTCTCCATTGATATTAATCTTTCAAAATATAACAATTCTGAAAGTCGAAGTCTTAATGATCCCATAGACTCATGTCTAACAACATATTTCCGACTGAACGAAAAAAATATGTGGACAAACGAAATAAAATCCATTCGGGTCTTAGATATCCGAATTAATTGCAGAAGCTGTTATACAGTGGCTAGGAACTCCGGTCTTATCAATGATAAAACCAGAAATCTGAATACATTGTGTAGACAATACGTTCGATATCATCGAATCAGTTCATCTGAAAAGTGCTAATGTTTGATCGATAACGTCTTTGGCGACATAAAATTCATATCAGAAAAGAAACGATACAACGAACTTTCATTTTTGATCAACAATGGAAAACTGGTATATATTGACAAGCAATGCACACCTAAGAAACATTAAATTATAGTAGTAACAACCTAGTAAGTTAAAAGTTGCATTTAAACAATTCCTAAAAGAATAAAGACATAATAAAACACAAACATCACAAGGAAAGTGAAAGAAGGTACATAATGGACGTATTTAGGCAGGATTGATAATCACAAAACATGATTGAGAATTGTCTATCAAATGGAACATCAAATACAAAACTTATAGGAAAAACCAACAAACGGATCATTCTACCCTACATGGAAAACATCTCAGAGACTATACTGGTTATTAAGACTGCTAGGAATAAAAAGACACAATGACAAACAAGGATAAGTCAAACATGATCTACGGGATAGATTACATTTAATGAGGCAAGGAAACAAGACCAAGTTCCCAAACCTTCATTTACGTCTACATGAACACCAGTTCACTAATAAATGCCACAACTCAGCCTCCCCCTTATCAACTCATATAGACAATTATGGACAAGAGTTCGACTGAGAGTTCGTTTAAATAATGAATGGAGGAAACATAAAGAAAACCAGGAGGTTCTTAGAAATCTGACAATTTGATCATGTAGTTCATAGACATAATGAGATCAATTAATTCTATAAACAAATAAAAGATGATGGCAATAACTGTAAGGTAAGAGTTTAGATCAGGAGGGGAAAAGATCATTACAAACATGCAGATATGACCATACAGTATTCATAACCATTAAGACGCTCACATGGTTATTCATTTTTAACTTACAATGCCAAGATCATACTAGTAGCAGTAAACAATAGAGCATTTTTACTAACCAATTTTTTTTCACTCGACCTTCACCTTCTTCTAATTGATTACTACTACAATTAGTTTCCTAGCCTCCTGTATGGTAGGAGAATTTATGCTTTCTTTACTGAATATATTGGGCTGCATCATTTCAAGTTGTTCTGTTCGAATATCAAATTTCTCCTAAACTTGGTATTTTTCTTGTGTTGACGCCTTATTGCTAAAATGTTATCTGTCAGACTCCAGTATCAAGTCGGCAGTTGGACTATTCGTATTAGAAAACCTTAAAGTTCTTTAATTTGAAAGTATCGTAAGGTAACCTGTAAACCCTGATAAACAACGGGTTTATAGAATTTTAGATCAACAAAACAAGTTGTTAGTCACTATGGTGAAATTTTGAACGCCAACTTTTTTTAAGGGGAGTGAGGCTGAAGTTCCCTATTGATGTGGGCGAGAATGATAATGATTGGTTGTCTGCTTAGTCAGACATGTAGATAGTCTGACAGGTGTCAGATGAGTTACTTATTCCCCTATCCTTATAATTATTGTTACTCACTTATTATTGATTGTTCATTGTTGTTGGATTGTGTCAGGTTTTTGGTGTGTAAATATATTTACGTTGTGGTCAGGCTAATCATGCGTTCTTGATCTGAGTTGTGTTGAAGTCCGATAGAATAGACACTGGGAGGGAATCTAGTGTAGATATTCATCTAAGGTAAATTAACGTCCCATACGTGTAAACGTTGGAAACCCAGCCGTTATAACACCCAGAAGAACAATAGTAGTTTCAGAACTAGACAATCCAGCTCAGAAAACACAGCACATCAAACATATAAAATCGTGATATAGGGAACATCGCTACTATTAACAAAATACACTTATTATTTCTGACAGTTTCATTACATCTAGTCAAATCACTCTTTGTCGAAAGTACAAAAATATAGTTTGTTTTAGAACTTTTGACTCATTCAAAGTACGAACAAGTACATGAACATGTTTTCTGAAAGGTCAGTGTCCTAACTTGTCACTGAAGTGAATGTTTCATAATAAAAATCAATAAATACTCGATAATCATAATGTGTTTAAATATATATCGGAATGCTTAGGATATTCCGGCAACATTTATTGAACACTTTCAGAGACCTTCAACTATTCATCAAGAAACGAGTACAAACAAGATACGTGATTTATACTAGTTCATTACAAACATATTAGACATCAGATACAACTCTAAAAATACGATTTCTTCAAATATATATAACTATTAATCAAACTACATAGCTGTCACTTTTATAGTGAATATGATGTAAGTAAATGAACAACTTACTCTATTCACTAATACCTTATATCATTTTAAATCAACTTGCAAAATAATGACTTTAAACTCACAGGAATCAATATGGGCAATACCCCGGCCGCATAAACAGCCAAAGCCACCTATGAAACATAAAATACAATGAAATGAGTAATTGTGAAATATCATGTTACAATAATTTGTGACCAATTAACGATTATGTGTAAAAGTCTGAACTAAAATATATAATTAGTGATCCAGATTAATAAATTCTTTTTAAGATTTAGAATGACTTACCTGTGTGTTACCTGCTATAATAAGACCGATAAATACTACTGTGATTGTGGAAAGTTCTGCAACACAGTAAATCATAAATACACTTGTATATTGACTTAAGTCAGTCTTTATAACCATACCAACCGGGACCAAAATCGAAAGCAACACGAAAGCAATAACCCATGCTATGACTTTTACTAGAATTTCCACATTGATGATAGAGTATCCTTGAGCTGCAGATATAGCCAATCCCTATTTAGAAATTCGAAAGCACTTGTTAAATATTTGTCCGAATCATATTGGATAGTTATGAAATGTATTTTATAGAAAGATAAGGATATATTTCTGACACTGTTTAGCACATACACAAATCCATGCAGTGCAGTCTCTATAACAGAACCATATTGACTAGATAATTCAATGACATTGACTTGATGAGATATTTTGATTATAAATGAACTCAATACTCTATTTTAGCCCTTTGTACTATTTAGTTTTATATTTAATAAATTGGATCGTTTATTTACTCCATGAAGAAAAGACTGGAACTAATCATCGAAACGTCAAAAATTCTAATTGTTGAGACATCATAAATATATCATTGTGGAATAATTTACACACACGTCTATCTACGTGAGTTGTTACTAACACTTGTAAAACTGAGCTCACAACTGTTGGAATTATTTAGCTTTAACTATTTTTAATAAACAATAAAGAGAGTTCAACAAGAATATTTTCTTTTAACTGTTAGATTGACACCTGCTATGTCTAGAGTTATATGTGCGAAGTCTTATGGCTTCAGCTATATGTAGGAGGCGGGAACGAACTCCGTTGGGAAAGGATGAAACTATACGATAGATCATACTGTAGATAAATCGGAAGCATTTCGCGTATGTCTAAAGTGTTTGTTGCTTTATAACTGCATACCTTTGGCTAATTATATTACAGCATAAACAAAGTAATATCGAAGGACTATGTTGAAGCAATTGAATATATGGTAGATTTACTGTGGTAACTACATCTAGTAAAACTGATTATTTCTCAAGGATTTCTAAACAACTGGAAACCACTTAAGTCCCATGTTATTTTAAAAATCTGTAGATTTACACATGTACTAAAGTGCTTTTAAATGTCGTTGCGTCTTTAATTTAGTTGCACTCTGAATGTACTATAGCTAAACTCAACACAAACTTGTAATCACTAAACACCTTGATTGACAAACACTCGTCAATTTTGAAATAGCGATGGTTTCATTCTTAAAATAGAAATTATGTGACTTCATGAAAGTTGCTGCTGAACATGATTAGGTCAACATTAATATTACAGAATAATGTATGTTATAAGATGGACTTATGATTGTCCAACTATATTTCCCTGATGATTTGAATACATGTTAACTATTATGAATGGTTCGATCGTGGGAACTTATTTCTTTGTATTTGAAAAGAAAAAGAAAAATTATGTTTTGTTTTATAACTTGCATCCCAACGAACTAATATACATATACATAATGAGGTAGACATACATTCCTCTACTGGTCTAGTAACAGCTAAAAAGAGTAAACAGGCGGGTTTGCACTTCCAGTCAATATATATAGGGTTCTGTTGTTAAATGTAGTTCTAGATTATGTCAACGTCATCTATATGAATTAAAATGTTTCAAACATGATGAACTTTGAAGTGTCAAGTGCTAAACACTTGAAAATAATTTCACCAACTATATCGATCGGAAAGATATAATTATTATGAGTAGTAATGATTATCAGTGAAATAATAGTTTCTCACGTATAAAATTGACATTATTATATTCAAGGGAAACGTTTCTCTCATCTTCCGTAAAATAACCAACATCATTCCTAGAAAAAAACCAATAATACTGAAAAAAACAACAACATTATATTCATTATATATTTCTTGTTATTTGTGTATATTTAATAACGTATTGAGTAGAACATCAGAATACTCCATAATCATATTAAGAATATGTAAGTAGACTGAGTTGATTTGAAAGATGTAGATAATAATGATCAATGTTGTGTAAATAATCTGATGGTAAATGAAGAAACACTGTTAACACTTAGTTTTAAATCAATGTTTTTAGCTAGAACATAAGTAAATTGTGTCGTCCTCTTATAGATCTTATCAGCAGTATAGATCCAGTAACAGTGGATCTAACTCAGGATCAATGGAAATGTTTATAATTCTTCTATCATCAAATAGATGAGTACGGTAATGAGTTCCTAATGAAGGTGATATGTTTCATATATATGTACTTGTAATCCATCAGATTAAATATGAAACATATCACCTTCATTAGGAACTCATTACCGTACTATTTGACGTGATCATGCCTTGTTCGAAGTGACTTGTTCATTTCGGAGTAATCTGCAAAAAAATACTCAGTAAAACCGATTATTCTTTGTTGCAATGGGTCTGGTGGGACAGTATATAGTTTATTGTTAAAATCTTAAAGCTTAAGTCAGATTAGTTAAGTGCAATACTCAGTAGCTAGATGATTAGTAACACTTTCTTTTCAAATTCTATCTTAATTTGAGATATAGAAATATAGAATTATAAATCATTGAAAAACTGGTTTTACATCAGAATATCTTGGAAAATAATGTATTGTCCAAATTTAGTAGCAAACGATCATAAATTAAAAGTTGACCTATTTAGAAGCCAATATTTAAAGTCTTGATCTATAAGATAGAAATTATAACAAGTTAATAGTATAGGGGTTGTGGAGATTATTAAGTTTTTGATTGAGATCATGAACCGACTGATGTTAGACCATCACAATTGAAAACCTGGAAGCACTGGACGGCCGTTTCGTTCTATTGTGGGACTCCTCAGCAGTGCGCATCCACGATCCCGCGAGTGGGATTCGAACCCAGGGCCTTCGGTCTCGCGCGCTAACGCTTAACCAACTGGATCACTGGGCCGGCATCCAGTGGTGATAGTTTCTAACATCAACCAATCCACGAAATTGCGCGACCAACTTCCGTTGTACTGAGGTAGATACCTGTCTCTACCCGACAAGGATTAGCTCCACTGGTTATATATTTCAATTCATGTGGCTACGTGATCAGTACCCTATTATGAAAGGATCCGTTCTATTATTGAACAAATAAGTTTAAATAAGTTAATTACTTATAGGATATAATTTTAAGTCGGAAAAATGTATGAAAACGGTGATGCTTTTTCAAAATAGAAATTTTCTTCAGTCATAAGTTGAATTGTCTTCTCTTATATTTCACATTCAGCTGAAATGAAAGATTTTAAGAGTAACCATCTTGTTTCCAGTTAATTCGTGTCTAGTCAGTACATTTCCACACTTTCACATTACATTATATGTTATATGTGTGAATGATTGATGAAAGTTTTTAAGGAATGACAAAATGTCTGCCTATTCAACATAACTTCATACATTAAATAATGGGAAGCTTGAAGATCTAACTGATGAGAGATAAAACTATTACATGACACTTCTATTCCTTTGATAATATAAACTGTTTTGTAACAATAATCTTGTTACAAATTCGTAGACTCCACTTGTAAAGTTAATTACATTTAAGAGAAAAACGAATATATTGTAACATTCTACTCTGGTTAACAAACAAACATTTGATTGGATTTATACAGATTTGTAATGATTTAAAATATATTCCAGTAGGATACAACAGATATTAAACTTGAATATGTTCATATACATATCTGTGTAAAAATTAACATAGTAGAATACGATATGTTCTTCCATACACTTGTAGTGACCTATACGTCATTGGTGTAATGGAAACTATTATTATAACCAATTGTACCACGGATTGTTTTACTGTACTTGTTTGTTTAACTGTACCAAAACACATACATTCTTCCGTTGATTGTGACCTTGCACGAATTCGGTTACGCTCAGTAACCATAGTTGTAATCTGGCATGATCTATGTCTTCTTTCAATACTACAAGATCGCCCACAAATACATCTCGACTATAGCCATCAACTGCCATCTGATATTTGGCCTACGGGGGATCTTATCGGTTAACTAGCACGTAGTCTTCTTCTAGTGGTGATCATAGTCAACCGTGACTCGATGCCACACTACACACTGATGATATTTATGATTATTCAACTTACATTATGAACAAAATCTGTATTATCTTTAGTTGAACAATTTAAAACACGTTAAAATGTATTGAAACCTATCTGAATGATGTCATATAGAGGTAGCTTACTTAATACTGTAAATAACTGTAATATTATGTTCATTAATAATGATATGATGATTGATTATAAGCACATTATGTAAGTATAAATTGAACATACTTGAATACACTTGTGAAAATTATTATACATGTCGGCGATTTAAATTCTCCACCTCTAATGAATAATAATTTTGATCATCAATTAGCTTACAACAAGAATAAGGTTAGTGTAACAATGATTGATAAAACTGATAGTACACTAGTAAGTATTAAAACCTAAAATTCAATAATAATCTCAATCGAAAACAAACCATCGCAGTATATGGTAATTTGGGTTGTAGAGCATTCTGTTGAAATATATACTTTATTCTGAAGCCCATATTGCAGAACAATACTGATGATGTTTATTGACGATCTCAATTTACATTTATTGACTGAATGGAATGTGCTTGTTTCTACAACATATATAATATAGCAGAAATTAAACAATAATAGCGAAATAAAAGTTCACGTATGGAATAACTATTAATATAAATAACAGTATAGGGTTGTGGAGATTGTTAACTTTTGATTGAGGTCACGAATCGAGCAATGTTAGGCCACCATTGAAAACCTAGAAGCAATGGACAACCGTTTCGTCCTACAATGGGGCTCCTCAGCAGCGCGATAAATGGCATATCAATTAGTTTACATAATCGTACTAGTCATAAGCTAATACAACCTTCCTAAAGAGTATCAGTAGGTATGATAAATATAGTTCGTTTCCATTTATCAATGTGTTAAGTGTTGTTATTATTCGGCAAGTAGTCCATAAGGTCTAGTCAAATTGAATCGAGAACATGGCATTGTCTAGTACTGATGGCGTTTAAAATGATAATATTGAGCTTATCATCTAGTTAAATTTTTAGATTGTATATAGGCATCATAACCGATGGCACATAATCGTAAGACCAAAATCAATCTGTTGGCATAATATTTTACGGACGAATTGTTCACAGAGTGTATCTAGAATTTTTGCTCGAAGTCTGTTCATCTGTATGGCCGAAAAAGACAAGTGAAATTTATAAATTACTTTGAACAAACAAAACGAATCACTACGATTGATTATTAGTTTATTGTGTATACAGGTCAAATCACATATTCATGTTTGCTGAAGTATCATCAAGAACCTTGAATTCGTGAAAAGATATTTGGTTGGAATCCATTAAAGTATGCATCTACAACTCTACTGAGAATCAAACTTCAAAATATCTACGTAACACCATAAGTATTTCACTCGTTAACCAGTGAACTGATATCTAGTAGTATTTTATTGTAGCTTCGTTCCGATTGTGATATTACACAATGATCTTACAATAATAGTAATCATAACTACCCTGAAGAACCTCTGTAATTCGTCTGAAAGTCATTTCCAAATGAATGAATGATTATTTTACAGTTTATTGCATTATAGAAGCTAGTACACTATGAAAAGAGTCTTCATCAATAACTGAAATTCAGCAATCGACAATTCATTACACTCACATTCTGTATTTGATTAAGAAGTTGTAATTTAACGTAAAGAAAAAAGTCTAAAAAAAAGTTTCCATAGAATGTCGTCACTAACCGTATTGAAGTATTCCGACTACCTTTTTGAAATACAGTGAAATGTTACAATGTAAATATACAAATGATTCGAACTAATACCAATCATATAACTGTTTGTTATAAATGGACTTTGAGTCGAATAACCAACAATTGAATTAATTGTTAAGAAATAATGAATACACTTAAACTATACAACTAGATTGTAAAGTATCATTTTCATATTATTTATATTCAATCCTATTTCATACTTTGAACTCAGTTTTGATGTAATTGAATTATGATTAAAAAAATCATTTAGTGTTATTTTGTATTAAGAGATTTATTAGTGTTTAAATTGTATAATTCTTTAATATGATGTGATGTTGAAGTTATAATGAGAATAAGCTTCCGTAAGTCATTACTTCTCAACAACGCCATATATTTCCAACTAACTTATCAGAACTCAGTAGCTAAGTAAATAACGCGATGGCGTTTGAAGCGAATGGTACTGAGTTCGAGCGCCATAGTGAACATCAACTCTGAGGTGAAGGTACATCCAGCTGACGAGTCCCACATAAGACGAAACGCTCATCCTGGGTTCCACTATCCATCTTTACATATTCATTTCTTTTTCTAATTTCAGACGATTTCTTAATGATTCCATTTCAACTAATCAAAATAACTATTTCACATTGATTATTTCATCCATATGATAAGGAATGCTTGATGAAAAATAAAGAAGACAAACAATCAATCATATGGTCACTATTATTCAGAATATTGTTAAACGTCATCCATTAAAATGTAATCCAATTTATATGCAAATTATTTCATCCGTTGAATATTGAATGAATGAACGAATAAATGAATGTTGATGAAAAAGAAGCAAACCAAATATCTTTTGTTGTTGTTGTTTCCCCCCCCCGTTTTTTAGACGAAATAATAAATACAGATAGAGTATTATATCTATTCACAATGTGTTTACTCTTATTGATAGTTCAAAACTCATAGTGAATGTTGTTTGTATACATATTTTTGTTTTTGTTGTTGTTGTTGTCAAGTTTACTATGATTTCTACATGACGATGATAATGATGATGATGATGATGATCATCATCATTTATCATCAACTTACTTTTTAGCGAAGTTATCTAAACTCTAGAATTCGTTATTATGATACTTTTTGATATAGATCAGCAGAATAACACCAGAAAGATTGACTCAATTGATCTCTATTTCATCTTTTTCTTTTAACGAATATTATTTAAAACTAATAAATTATCACTTCTATTGATTAGGTGTCTACTGTCTTTAAGTTGATGTTCTGAATGTGTAAAGATTTGTTAAGTACAATACTATGATTATCCAGTTCCTTAGTGTTAATCAAATTCTATCTGTCAAGTTCCAACGTAGACATAAATGTGAATGATTCAATTTCAGGTGCAACATCAGATGATTAATGTAATTGGCAAGAAATTTTGTAGAGTGCTAACTAGTACAAAAGTTAAGTACAAGGTTTCCTATTATGAATGAACATGTTTATAAATGATTGATCACTGGGTGGCGATCAATGTTATGCGTGAGGTTTCCCCGCGTGGGTTCGAATCCCAACCCCGTCGCCAATGATAAGTCTTGTTAATTCGATTCCTATGCTATTCTGTTAACCCGCATGCTAGAACTACGCAGCGACCTAAACTCGAGAAAAAAGGCGAAAAATAAGCGAAAAATACTTTACTCCAAAGGTTCATTTTTGTACAGAAAAACACGGGTATTTATAGATGTTAACGTTTGTTAAACCAATATAATATTTTGGCTAATCCGCTAAAAGACATATTATGCTACTCACCAGTAGTAGCGTACCACATTGATATTCTAGAAGGCTCACTCATTCTCTGATTGGCTAGGACTCTTCGGCTCCTTTAGGGCCTCTGGAGGCTCCGCTGCAGTTCTCGGGAAGCCGACTCAACACTAAGTACATAGAATACATAGAATATTTAGTACTTATTATTTTTCATGTAGGATTTTACTAATCAATTATTGAAGTAACATAAGTAATAAGTTCAATGATAAAAATTGCTCTGAAAAACTGATAAACAAACAAGTCACCAGTTTTATAGTTCATGTGTACATACTTGAAATAGTACATGATATAGCGTTATAATTTTCGATGCAAACACTTCCTAACCTTTGATAGGGATAGTAAGATAATTAAGAATGAGTAAGAAGCTTTATCCTTAACATTTGATGAATGTGTACATAAACTAAGTGAGCATGTTCATGGTACTGCAATAATGCAGGAAAACATATGTGAGAAGCGTGACCTTAAGTTAGTGAATAACATGTTTATTTACAATGTTCTACCCAAACTTGAATTTCTCACTACCATATGGTCTTGAAAAGAAAAGGTGGTTTTCCTATGGCATAGTGATTCTCAAACGTGTAAGTTTTAGTCAGAAATAGTAAGTCTTGATGACATATTTTGTCATCAAGCAGTAACAACATAATTTCGCATTCATTAAGTCAGTCAAACACATTAGTTGGTGACGGATAAGAAGTAAAATTATTTGATTGAGATCATAAAAAGTTTGATGTTAAACCACCACTGAAAACCTGGGAGCACTGGATGGCTGCTTCGTCCTATTGTGGGACTCCTTAGAAGTGCGCATTCACGATCCCACTCGCGTGATTTGAACCCATGTCCTTCAGTCTTGCGCGCGAACTCTTAACCTCTAGACCACTGAGCCGGCATCCAGCAGTGTTAATGTTTAATCTTAATCAATCCACGAAACTGCGCGACCATCTTCCATTGTCTGAGGTAGATACCTGTCTCTTTCTGACATGGATTAGCTTCACTGCTCACGGCTTCTCACTAGAGCTCCGAGAATTCCGTCACAAAGCTAGTTACTAGTGAGCACATGGCACTTATTAATATAGGGTTGTGGAGATTATAATGTTTTGATAATAGTGATAATAATAATCTCCAAAACCCTATACTGATAATCTCATTTGAACTGTGGCATTAATTAACACCAAACTGAGAATCATTCAGAGTCGGAAATTTTCGGACAAATAAGTGAACTCCAATATTAGATAACACCAAGAAACACAACTTAATTCAAATCCATAATTAGGGTTTCGACGTACTTTCACTTCTGTCTACATATAATAGTAATCTTAAAGAAAAGTAGAGTCACAAACAGTTTCATAGCTTCATCATAAACTTCTAGTATGCATAAACCAACAGTCCTTAATTTGAAGTAAATAATGATTGAAATGTTACTCCTGAGTAATATATTTTTTTCAGTAAAACTAGTTATTCTGCATATGATGAAAAATCATGTTGAACAATCTACACAAACGTTTTTGATCCCATAAGAGCTGACCAGCTTTCAGTTGTTTCATGTTCATAGAATAATTCCAAACACTTAAATACGATATCATAACCGATAAAATTAATCTGTTTCAAAATTAAAAGTTACCATTGAAAGTACCTAATGTTTCTCTGCCTTTTAAGTAGATTAAATTCGGAAAAACTAACTACTGAATTCCTATTCAGTAGTTGACAAAGCTATTTTACAATTAGGCAAATCTCTATCAACCACTCAAGTATATCAACATTATTATCAATAAATATGTTTAAGTATCATCCTCTAGCCGTCAAACGAAAATGGATGATCATCTCTAACTGCATAACTGATAAATATCTTCATAGATAGTATAAATTACGCAGTATCAAAAATCTCAGTGATACACAGTTACGAAAGTCTTTATTCTATTATTTGCTAAAACAAACAGGAAACTTGATTTTATCTCAAAACATCTTTTGACATATGACTAATATTCTATACTGTATTGTTCATTTGTTTTAATGTACACCGAAAATGTTTACTTGTGTTATGGTTTTTATGTTTTACATTCTCATTTAAGTAAGAAAGGGATTTAGTTTGTTGTTGTCTGAACCGGAAATATTGCTTGCTGTATTTTTTTGTTCTGTTGAAAAAACATGAAGTTTCACTAATTCCATCAGTGGAAAACAGAAATTGTAAATTAAAGTATGAGTTTATGAATCTCTGTCGTTTATATTTATCATAAAAATTGATCGATTTGGGTAGCAGTACATGAGTTCTGATTAAATTGCTGCGACAAATAGTTATATCAGATGGTTTTTGTGGATATTATAGTAATTTCACTGGTTAAGATCATGAGTCAGTTGAAGCTAGACCACCATGGAAAACCTGGAAGCACTGGACGGCGCACTGGATGCGTACTGCTGAGGAGTCCTACAACAGGACGAAACGGCCGCCCAGTGCTTCCAGGTTTTCCATGGTGGTCTAGCTTCAACTAACTCATGATCTTAACCATTGAAATAGTTATATCACAAATTTAATCATATTCGGTGTTTGGTTATCAGTTAAATTCCAGGAACGCTTTTTAGTCATATTCAGGACCCTTTATTTTGGTGTAATCGTATCCCGGTATTGATGTCCACAATGAGATTCGAATTTATTATGCTTCAAACACCATTCCGTTAATCACTGAGCTATTGTATCCAGTTACATAAAGCTGACGAGTTCTATATAAGACTAAACTCATTTTCTGAACCCCTCTGTTAACCAGAAGTCAAATATAATAAAATCTGTGTTGAATACAATTTTTTACGATGAAAAAACTGAAATTGTTTATTATGGCTCATTTAATTTATGAATAGTAACTCTAAGGTGTCTGTACTATCCACAAGGGACCCTACGGTCCTGAATTCAAGCATGTTTAACGTCAACGGTGACAAGTAGTGTCAATGTAGTGATAAATAGTATCTTACAATGAAACAATATCCCGCAAATACCAAGTTGAATTACTTCCACACGATAAATGAATTCCGCTGACACGTCTTTTGCTTACGTGTTAACTGATGTTGAGTTAAGCAAACTCATGTGCTATTACTTGAAAGAGCTTGTAAAGACTGCTGTATGGCATAATCTACTTGATGTTACTTACCCACCAATGATATTGAGAAGTAGTTGAACTATATCACTGATTGGTTAAAGTTAAACATGAAAGAAACGGGATGCCATACTCAGCATGTTAACTTGAAGTTACGCATCAGTCTAAAGGCTAATAAGAATGAAAGTTGAACAACTTGATCGTTGTGTTCAGGAATGTTTGATCCTTTATCGTACCATTAACATAACACTCCTTGCTTGCTTGATAAGTTTTTTCAGAA